GATTGAATGAAAATTGCACTCTTGGAAATACGCCTATTTCTCGAGAACTACTCATTAGAATTTCACGAAATTTGGCACGAAAATACTTTAGGAAATAAATAACTCGAGTATTGAAAATGATTGAACTTTAACAAAAGAAATTCTACATATTCCAGGGAACCTTCAACAAGGGATAATTAAAGATCTCTCTGTTAAATTATTAGGAAAATGGTGTTAACTTGTGAGAATCGTTACAAGCTTGTTGCATGCAAATTATAAAGAAGATCTAATGACTAGATTTTCTGCAAATAAACAAAACCGATTTTAAAGGCCTGTTTATATTTATCCTTGTTGCCATGGCAACAGCACATACGTCAGCTTAACCAACAAAAAACCAAAGTTTGTGTTATTAACTAACATGCTGCCATTTTTGACGACCGAGGGATCAAGGGTTTTAATGAAAAAGGTGAATGAAACACAGGTATCAAAAACTGTGTTCAGCCACCTTAATATCTCGGTCTTGAATGTAAACACGGTAAACAAAACTACCACCGGGACTTTCAAGAAAGGGTTCCCCGGCTGGTCTTGGAAGGTGGTTTCCGCTGTTGCACTTGTTCTAACAAGTAGTCCTGTAGAACTGTACCAATAAGTGTAAAAACTAACATTGATGTTTAGCCAGCAGTAATTAGGAGATTCGATCCGATGAGCTTGAGACTGACATTGCCTTGTGTATTTGCATCAAACAGAGAATGGTTCTATTTGCTGTCCAAGGAAGTGTTCAATCCTTATTACGGTCTGTTTGAATACTCGGCAAGGTAAGCAGAACTGGCATTGTGGTGTGTGTTGCAGGATTAGCTTTTCCTAATATCTCATGAATTGCACAGATTGAGCGGTTTTCAGTCGAGTGTTGTAAAACCTTGTCTGTCCAGGGGCGTTTGTATTTTCTTCGAGCGCGCGAACACAGCGACCGTGAAGCGGGCGTTTAAAATAATATTAAAATGATATGTTTTGGCTCGTTCATCATACCCCCACGGCAAATATTATGCTTGCGATCACAAGATAGAGGGTTCGTGGACAGACTACGTAAAGCGAAAACCATAGTAATTACTCTGGTCAGTCACAAAGGGCACAGACAATCCAGTGAGCCAATCAAAGCTCGAAGTAAAGATATGTAGCTGACGCAAAGCGCGGGAAAACGAGTGCGAGTACGTCAAGATTGGTTTTGGCTTTGCTTCTGATTGGATGAAAACGTGGCGCGAGTTTTTTAAGCCAATTTTGTGGCGTAGTAATTCAAAACCAATTAGCTTTCGATACTCGAGCGAAAACCGTCCTATCTGACATACACTGTATCAAGAGCTACATGAGAATCAATACCGATCGTAGCTCGTTTTCCCGCGATTGGCCCGCGGTTTGAAGTCATGTTTTCACATCGAGTTCTGATTTACCATGATTGTATTCTAAGATTAGCCAGTGTGATTACAACTACTAGAAACTCACTCTATTTTGAGTTTCTTATATCATTTACAGACTGTAATACAGTGGAGCACGGTTAATACGGACATCAAAGGGACAGGCATACA